TATACACTTATAATTATACAAATACAAATCTTATTATACAAATTACAATGTATAAATGAATTTATACAAAACCGAACAATTTGTATAAAATTGGATGTTTGTAGCGAATTATACAAATCAAAAGCTCCATAGCAAACATAAAATTTGATATGAAGCGCAATTATGCAAACTATAGCTATAACATACAAATATAATTTTTATATTTGTTATATGTGAAAGTTTGTATTTTACGTTCATGCAAAAGTATAATGTAGGCAACTTAATTATCTAGTTATCTATCATTTTTCTTTTGTTTTCCATATAGCGTTTGGAGTCCATATTAGAGTCCTAATTAAATTTGGATCACGCATTGCAGGACCCAATCATAGGTGGCGCTCCCAAATCCCAACAAGATTTTTTCTATCTCAGGACTCGAACCTGAGACCTCTGATTAAGAGTGAAGCACAGTCTCGCCACTGGAAATCATCTTTACAAATGTGTAGTAATCTTTTTTTTTCTTATTTTTAAAAAATGTGTATAGTAATCATCTTACAAATGTGTAGGAATAATTTAGACAATTCTATCACCTTTACAAATATTTAACCGTCTAGAACATCTACATATTTCTTAAATATAGTAAATATCAAACATATTACTCTATGACCTTTAACTCTTCCAAAAAAAAACATTTAATATTTTCACATACACAATTTAATATGTTAGAATTGTTTGATTCGCGGATTAAATTATTTCGAGATTATAATATTACAATTATAATTCTTGATATAAGTCATTTCATTGGAGAGGTAAGATAAAATAATCTCAATTAAATGGAAAAAGTGTACAAATTTGTTTTGAATTTCCCACTTTATGTGAATTCTATCATAATTGTATTTAGTCCAAAAGGTTTTCTGGATGGAAAAAATTTTCTAAGTGAGAAATGACTCTAAAATATATGTCCTTGTTTTGAAAGAGAAAAAGCTTTGAAATTCTGTAAATAGAAGATCTTTCTTCTCACAAAGAATATAATAAGATGCACGATACAATCGTTTAAAAAACCTTGTTTAGAAGAGATAATTTTTATTGATGATATAAATTTATCCTAAATTGTATTTATTTTTTTTAATTTAATTTTGAAATATCTCTTCATATCCCGCGTATTTTCTTGGACCACATGACTCGACAAACTCATTTAACTCTAAATAAGATCATTTTCATGAAAGTCCTTGGTTCCTCCTCCTTTTCCAATTTGCTTTTATTTTTGATTGGGACAAACTAATTATTGTACATAAGATGTGGATTGGGAGCAAAAGGACCCAATAATTTTAGACATATATAGTACTCATTTAGTAAATTGAGAAGGAGACCTTGTCTCAAATCTCTATCAATTCTCCACTTTACAGCCAATTTGGTGCATGAAA